GACCTTTTGAAGGTCATATTAAGGTCAAAAACACTTTCATCTTACTTTTAGCGTTACCCGGAAACATCGACGTGGACGTAGTAAGTTCTGTTTCCTTTAGGGTGCTTGATTATCGTGAATCCCCTTGCCTCTCACGTCGGGGTGCTTGATTATCGTGAGTCCCTTTGCCTCTCACGTCGGGGTGCTTGATTATCGTGGGTCCCCTTGCCTCTCACGTCGGGGTGCTTGATTATCGTGAGTCCCCTTGCCTCTCACGTCGGGGTGCTTGGTTATCGTGAGTCCCCTTGCCTCTCACTGACACTGTAATTTAAATGAATTACCCACGGAGTAATTGTTCAAAATTACCTCTGTTGGCTTCGAGGCATAACTGCAATCTGTTTTGAAAACTATCCACAGTTCTAAGCAGGGTAGCTCTAGGAATGGCTGCACAAGCTCTACGAATGCGGTCCATAAAATCATCTCTTGTGGTTGGTCGTTCAGCAAAAACAACATTTTTCAAGTATCCCCATAAAAAGAAATCAGGCGACGTCAGATCTGGTGAGCAAGGAGGCCATTCAACTGGACCCCTTCGTCCAATCCATCTGTCATTGTAACTGGCATTTAAAAAGGCACGTACAATGAGTGCATAATGCGGTGCAGCACCATCTTGTTGAAGTCACATTCTTGCTCTTGTTGCTAAGTCAACATCTTCTAATAAGCCTGGTAAGTGATCTCTTAGCAACGATAAGTAACTGTGTCTATCAACGTTCTCTTTAAAAAAATAAGGTCCAATCAAATAACCATTTACAATGCCGCACCACACCATAATTACTAACATGCCATTACATTATATGTAATATAACATGCCTTGTAATGCATCAGTTACATTGTTAAGTAGGAAATTATAACATCAATGTTATTTTATTGTTACTTAGTGTTGATTAGTGAGTAATACCTCTTACTATATTAATTATTTTACTTTTTTCAATTACTCATGTCATTGTAAAATTGTGTGCAATAACCTTTATATGCACTCAGTGCGCACTAGTGCATACAACTGAATTCGCTATTACATACTTAAAGGCACGATATTGTATTATGTATGTATATTATATGTATGTTATGTATAGGTATGTATTCTGCATCATAAGATAAAAATCTTATAATATTTTGTTATTAATCAATTAATCAAATGTACATTAATTTGGACTCTGTATTTAAATTCGGACTTAAGACGATCTTATGTTTAAGATCGTCTTTAGGCCCATAGCACACGGTTTCCATAAAACATAGCCATAATACATAACATAAGCTCAAGAACCAATTAGATAGTCGTTTTAGATTTAATATGTTAATAAAACGGAAAAAAATTTATTCAGGCCTAACGTAAACATAAGATTCTTTAATGTTATTTATAGATTGAATTGCAACGATTGTGACGCCACATATGTCGGACAGACAAAAAGACAGTTAGGAACGAGACTTAAAGAACATAAAAATAATATTAAATTAGACTCTGCTAAACATTCGGTTGTCACATTCTAAACGAACAACATACATTTGACTGGGACAACACTAAAATTATGGATCATGAAAAGAATTACCATAAAAGGCTAATATCTGAAATGATCCACATTAAAGAACAGAAAAATGGAATTAATTTAAATAAAGACACCGAATTGTTAGACAGTAGTTATTTCGACATACTCAAAAAACTTTGCTGAATCATAGTTTAGAAAAAACATTGGCAATAAATAAATACATCACGCTCTCTACTTTGACATTTGTTATTCAGACTTCGCAACACACACTTGAAATATCGGGAAGAAGGACTTGTTAAAACGATAATGTAAGTTGAAAGATTTTTTAATTTTCTCTGACATTGATTTAATTCGCGTAATATTTCCGCAGCATGATTAAATGTCGTATAACTTGGCATCTCAGACCAATCGTCTTGCACATCTATTGGTCAACAGCGAAGAATCGTTTTAATTTTATATTTTAACATTTAACTAACTTTGTATTTTTAACATTTAACTTTGTATTTTAATATTTAACTTTTATGTATTGAAAAAGACTGTAGTGCAGTCGAAACGTTTACGATTTATATTGTTTCTGTAACGGAATGATAATTTAATTATTTAACTATTAATAAATTTTTACATCTTATTTATTTGCTCGTTCAGTTGGCCTACTATATTTGGTTTGTTTAATTTTGTTAATTTATACGAGCTTTTCATTAATTAATTTGAATACATTCATTTACAAAATCTTTAAAAAAATCATTAGCAGATTTTGGTTTTTCCGAACCATGAAATAAAGCAACTAAAAATATGTGGTTTATAAGAACTTTTATTGATTTGATTGAGCATAAAATAGGCCAAAACGAACTATTCGAACTTTTGCTTAACAGTAAACCATCAGTATTGACAGCTAATAAAAACTCTTCACCTCGTTCTAAGTTGATTTTATGATTTATACAAAATAAATTTATCGTTTTTTCTATACCAAAATAAAAATATGTCTCGGAACCTAAAGGTGTTACAATTATTTTACTAGGTGTTTTTAGTACTGTTCTTGCATCTTTTGAAATATTGCTACATCCCGGTATTTCTCGTATTATAGGAAGTAAATTTCCTAACGCCGATAACGTTATATTATCTTTTACAGCCCATACAGCTAATTTTGAGGTTAACGATATATTATTTTCATTATTATTGCACTCAATATTATTCGGTAATTTTTCGACATCATTATTAAGGGGATGCCGGAGCGTTGGCCGAACTCCGACGGGTTAGCGCCCTCATTTGAGAGGAACTAAAATTGTCGGTAATTATCGACAATTTTAGTTCCGCTATTATCGACAGTAATATATATATGTCAAAAAGCCATTTTAGTGTGTTCAACATATTGAAATCAGACAACATAATATATTTTTACTGTCAAATTATCTCGCACACGCATCTAAGCGTGTCAATGACAATACCCATACAGCATGGAATATTTCTTGAATGTTCTATGAATATTCTTTGGAATATTCGTGAATATCTTTTGAATGTTCTATGAATGTGCAAGGAATGTGCGATGTCCCGCTTTGAATGTTCCTAGAAATTTCTATAATTATTCTTGAATAATCCTACAAATGTTTTATAAATATTCCCGAATATTTTATATTTTTTTAAATATTTCGGAATACAGGGTTTGTCCGGAAAGTAATGCGTCGCATTTTTTTGTGACGCGACTATACATCGCAGAGCGATGGGACCGGTTGGGGAGGAAGGGGGGTACCCTTAGCTTTCCAACGGTAGGTCGCTCAATTGTTTCCATGCGCTTGGAGGGTTAGGACGGCTTATTCTGTGAACCTCTGCTTAGTGGTCGCGTCGAACTTGTGATGGAGAGAACGATAGAGCAACGCTATGCGATAAAGTTTTGCGTGAAGCTGGACAAGACGCCGCTGGAAACTTTTGAAATGCTCAAGAAAGTTTTCGGGGACGATTGCCTTTCCAAATCGCAGTCAAACAGATGGCACAAGATGTTTAGAGAAGGTCGGAAGGAGGTCGCCGACGAGGCCCGCGCAGGACGCCCGTCAACATCGCGAACGGACGACAATGTGACTCGTGTGCGCCAATTATTGAATTCAGACCGTCGAATGAATGTTCGCTTAATGTCGGAATTATTGAACTTGCCGAAAACGATTGTTCACGAGATTGTATCGGAAGACTTGGCCATGCGGAAGATTTGCGCAAAACTTGTGCCCAGAGTGTTGACCGATGCGCAAAAGCAACACCGAGTGGAAGTTTGTGAAGAACTCAAGCAACTCTGTGCAGATAATCCCAATTTCCTGAACAACGTTATCACTGGGGATGAGTCATGGGTCTTTCAGTACGATCCGGAGTCAAAGAGGCAGAGTGCGGAATGGCACACGACGTACAAGCTACTTCGACGGCCTCCCTGAACAGCATCCCAGTCAAGGAGTTCCAGAAATCTTATGACGCATGGAAATCGCGTTGGCAAAAATGTATTGACGCAGAAGGGTCATACTTCGAACAATTTTAAGTTGTTTTACCTATGCGATCAATAAATTCTTTTTTAAAAAAATGCGACGCATTACTTTCCGGACAAACCCTGTATTCATACAACATTTATAGATATTTGTAGAAACATTCGAAACGGAACCTCATATTCTATGTATATTTATAGAACGTTTATAAGATATTCGCAAATATTTTTAAAATATTCTGGGAATATAGATATTTTTCTTAATATATTCAGGAATATTCACAGGACATTTATAAATTATTCGATAATATTTATAAAATATTCAATGCGAGACAGTAAACGTTCTATGTACATTCTAAGAATAATTACAGATTATTCATGAATATTCTAAAAAATATTTATAGGATATTCTATGCTGTATTTATAAATATTATTATAATTTATAAATATTATTGAAGTACAGAGAGAAAAGGGGTACGTAAAATTTAATAACTGAAGTTTTAAGATTATATATATATATATATCTATACACATTTATTTAAAACTATATAATTCTCTCTCTTAATATTAATATATTTTTTAAAATAAAGCTTACACATATATTTCAGTTGAGATCTTCGATATATATACGAGTATTTCTTTTTTCTTTTGAAATATATATATATATATTTAAGTAAATAATATTGATATATTACTATTACATTATTTAAAAAATTTTACTGGTAATAATTGTTCTCTCATACATGTCAGAATTAATTTTATACTTAAATAAAAAACATTTCTTCAATTTTTTATCTTAAATAAAGACTATCATTATTATTATCAATTTAAAAGAAAAACGTGAATTGTTTTCCTTTAAAATTAAAAGAAAAAAAATTAATAAAAAAAACATATATATCTTCGATTCTCCCTTACATGTCAATAATATACTTTAAGAGTTTTACCATAAGTTTTTGAATTAAACTTAAAATATTCGTATTTTTAAAGCAAAATAAAATTAATTATAATAATTATTGATAAAATCTTACTGAAGTACATTATATTTAAAAACATAAAATAAATTATACTTGTTTTTTGCACAAAAACTATCACGGTTATTAAATTTGTACTTTAGAGTAGTAGTTCTTCAAGAAACTTTTAACATTTTTAATGTTCGCTATTACACGAACGATTGGCTTCATTTTGCTGTGTTGGTTTTGTTTTTAATTTGGCTTTTACCAACCAAGTTTTAACGATGTTTATAATTTCATCATCTGTTATAATTACAGGACTTTTCCGTGTAGTAAGTCTTACGGATTCTGAAATGATAAGGAATCTTATATTTTGATTGTTTTTTTTAAATACTAGCAAATTTCTTTAAAACTTTTTTTTACTGCAATTTAAACATTTCTAAACAAATAAATTTCACTAAAATGTTGAATCTGGTGTGAATTCCCAATGTATTAATTATGTATTAATTACTTTAAAACAAAAAATAAAATATAACTTTCCTAAACATATCATAAAGAAATTAAAATTATATTTGTATTACTTACTAAGGACTAATTTTGCCAGAAGTAAATCCTTAAAAATTAGGTTCCCCTTGTGCCCCTCCCAGCTGTATTCTCTTCCAATTTCCGGTGTTAAAATTCGGCACATCAATTTCTTGACAATAATTCGTAAATTACTACCGCCCATTTTCGACAATTCTGCAGCCTCAAAAATTATTGTATAAAATATACTTATTTATATTTATATACTATTATTATTATATTTTCCTTATATTATTATTATATTTATATTATTATAATTATTATATTTATATATATTATTATATTTATTTATATAATTATGGTATAATTTTAGTAATATAACGATCATTTTACCACATCATGGAATATTCCTTTATCTTGTAAAGTTCTCTCAATTTCTTGAAGCTCCATTTTTGATTTTACTGGCAAATTTTCTATGCATTGTAATGATACTTCATTTATAATATTTTGATTAGTATTTTCTTGATCAACGAGAAAATTAGATTGTTTTAATGATTCTACGTGCTCATTTAATTCTCCCATGCGGCCATTAATGCTATGTAAGTGTCGTAGAACTTGGCGTTGAAATTCTGAAAAATTCAAAATATATATACATATAATGAACACAAAACAGCCTTAACATATTTTACGATTTGCAAGTGAATTAGAAAGTATGCATATTATAGCAATATTATACTAAGGCATTTTTTCCACACATAAAACATATATTTTCTCCATACATATTACCTTTCATTTCAATTGCGTGTTTTTTAAAATTAGTATGGATCTCAGCTAAAATATTATCAGAATTTTGCTTCTTACTTTCGCCGATTTGGTAAACATTATTATTCGATTTATTAGTACGGATCTCAGTTAAAATATTGTCTGAATTTTGCTTTTTATTGCTCTCACTGACTTGGCCAACATTATTGTTCGAATTTGATGAAATACCAGTCTTATCTGCTTTATATGTCGGAAAATTAATGGACAAATCCTTTTCGCCACACTCATCGCTTTCCGTATCGGTATCTGTGTATGTATCACTGTACTGTCTTTTACGTTTCGGTACACGACATCCTTTTCCATATTCAGCAGATTCAGATAATGATGAGAGATTATCTCTATCCAATGCAGTTTTGCATTTTCTTTGAGCAATTTTATAATCGTCTAGAAAAAAATATTGCTGTTAAATTATAGTTACTTGATAAAATATTTCATTTAAAAAATCTTATATATATATATATATAAAAGTTCTACTTGATTAATAAATTGAACAATTTTTAACAAATAGTTTTGCATTTTCTTTGAGCAATTTTATAATCGTCTAGAAAAAAATATTGCTGTTAAATTATAGTTACTTGATAAAAATATTTCATTTAAAAATCTTATATATATATATATATATAAAGTTCTACTTGCTATATTTAATAAATTGAACAATTTTTAACAAATAAATGAAAAGCCAAGTTATAAAAAATATAGACAAAACGTAAATTTATCTATTAATTATATTTTAAATTATCTTTTTCCATAACAAATTATACAAGATCTGTTGCAATTGTTTCAACTTTATTATTACATTTATTCTGTTTTACGTACTACCATTTAAATTATAAAAAATTATATACAAATTCTTAAAAATAACCATAAGAAATTGCAATTTAAATATATTAAAGTATTTAAATATATTAAATATATACGTATAATATTTACTATATCGTCCTAAAATTTTGATATTCATTGTTTTCCAATCATCTTTAGGAATCTCTTTTCTTTTAATGAGCTCTAATAGTTTAGATGGTTTTGTTGTTAATGGCCACACACATAGATTTTTACCAGTTATCCAATTATTTGGGACAACTTCTACAGAGTCATCTATTTGAAAATGGCAAATACACCATTCCATATTTCTGAAAAATGCAAATAGCTTGTTTAGACATAATGAAGTTTAGTTATATACGTATATATACTTTTTGCTCGTATTATATCCTCGCACCATCACAGTAAGATAGGTCTAGTTGCAATATTGCATATCAAAAGCTGGACACAATGATGCAACTTAATCAACTCAATGTCGGTACTTCGTTGAAATCAAAAGATGATACAGCACCGAGTAGAGAAATTTAAACGTGCACGGATTGCACGAGTTCATTGTCTTCTCATTCTGGTTATATGAACGTATTTTATTTAATGTTAAATTATTTAATATTTTATTATTTTATTTCACGTATTTTATGTCATAAAATTATTTAATGTTGGATTTAAAAAATGCAATATATATGCATAAAAATGCAATATATACATACATATATAAACTGTCAGTTATTTAAATAAAGACTGCGATAGAAGAATCAATTAAAATTGAATATTTAAAAATAGATAGATAATAAATTAAAATCTCTTTTTAGATTTGCAATCAAATTAATAATAAAACATTTAATACTTTAAAATGTTAATATTTTAGCAACATTCTGATAAGCACTACGTAACAGCAATCATTAAAATAGTAACAGCAATTATTAAATCGTTACTATCACACCATTATTTAGCACTAATCAGAAATTAATAGAACTTTAATGTGATAACTGATAGAAAATTTTAATAATTAATTAATTATTTAAAAATAATAATGTTTTTGCACTTTGAGGGAATTTATTACAAAACAGTATAAAAAATATTAAAATTTTATTTACATGTGTAACAAAGGAAAAATTACTGCATTATTATCTTTATATGGCAACAACATTGCTTTGCATTTAATTTCTAATAATGAATATATTTTTAAACTACTAAGTTTGTCAAGATGTACAATATAAATACCTAGAATTGCAGAGTCACAGGGTTTTATAAAAAATGATTTTTTCTCAAGAAATGTTTGCCCAATAATACAAATAATATTATTACAGTAAGTTATGTTGCATATTTGAACAATTTCATTATCCAACATTTGTACATAACAATCAGCAGTGTTTAATTTATAAGTACAAGATTTTAATTTTAATACTTTATATTGACCTAAACAATTTGGTAATAAAGGTCCGTTATAATGTTCTTTGGCAATAATATTATTTTCAAAGTGATTTTCTAATCTTGGAATATTATTATATTCGGAAACACGACGTATTATTTGTTCAAGTGGTTTTTCTTTTTTTCTGATCATTTTTTTTAATTGCATCATATAATTCTCGAACGGAAAAGCTGAAAATTCATTTAAATTACCAAATCGTATGACATCTTCATGTATATGTAACAAATTATGTACGTTATAAGAAACAAAATCTTGACCATAAATATTAATACTTGTTTCAACAAAGCATTTTATTAGATCTTTTGCATAATTTATCATATCTATTTTTTTGCAGAATTCATTACTACACATTATTAGAGTAGCAACGTGTAATGTCAAGAAATGATAATAATTATTTTTTGGAAGAAATTGTTTTAGAATTATGGGTCCTGTATATAATAATATGAGTTTAAATTCCGTTGCCTTAAAACGAGGACATTCTTCAAGCGATCTACCTTTACGTGGAAATTCAATTGGGATATATTTATTTAAGCTTTTGATTTTATTTGAAATCGATTCTACTTGTCTATGTGAAAGCTTATATGGTGGTTTACCCAACACCCAACCATATTTTTTATGTGTAATCAATCTTTTCATCACTCCTAAACAAATAAGATGCATGTAATCTAGTATAACGTCTTTAATCATATGAAAATGAGGCAAATTCGTCAAAATGGTTATCCCTTTGTGATAATCTTCATCATATTGTTGTCTAAATTCAGTATCTGTTCTCTTTATAAAATTTGTCTGTGGAAAACACAACACATTATTAACGAAATAACCTTCCACTTTGCATTTAGTGCAGCTATGATAACCAGTATGGTTTTTTACATTTAAAATATAAGATTTAGCGGGCGCATCACATATTATAACTTTTATTTTAAAATCGTATTTTTGATTGTTGATAAAAATTCCATTTGTAATCAAGTAAATTGCTTCATTTACAAATTCTTCTAAATATTTATTCGGGTTTTTCGGTTTACCATTACCATGATATAGAGCTACCATTAAGACATATTTTTTCAAAACTTCAATTGACTTTATTTGAACTAATATTGGCCATAAACAAGTTGAACTGCTTTTACTAATAGGCAAACCATCTATATTTACGGCTAATTCAAAAGATGTATAATTAGGAAGGAATGCATTACATTGATTAATTAATATATTAATAGACTGAGCAATTCCAAAGTAATAAAAAGAACCAGTGCTCATTTTTACAGAAGTAAGATTGCTTGGAGTAGATAACATTGTTCTCGGATCTTTTGGTAAATTATGAAATGAAGTCAAATCATTTTCATTTCGAAGAATTTCTAAAAGTTTTTTAAAACTATTTTGAGTAATATTTTCCTTAATGGACCATGATGCTAACTTTTTTCGCAGTGATGTATTTTTATCTTTTTTTTTTGCGCAAGTGGATAAATCATTATTACAATTTATTATGTCTTCGTCATTATCAACGCTATATAAGGATACCATAAAATTATTTAAACGAGATGTATTATTTAGAAAATTTTCTTCGATATTGTTGACATAAATATTTGATTCAGCGACATTTTCGTGAATTTCTTCACTTGATGATACATTGATTAACTGAAAATCAGGACTTGTGCTAATTTGTGTACTCGCGTCTTCATCGATACTTATTATTTTATTACTTGAACAAGTAATTTCGGTCGATTCAATTATGTTGATATGGCTTTGTAACTCAATTAAAGCCATCGACGCTTTTATATTATCGTTTATTTTTCGATTAAAATGTCTTTTACTCTTAATTTTTGGCATTTTATAGATAAATATTAATTGAAATTGTACAAATTTATGTTAATTTATACCAATTAATTAGAAATTCATCATAAATTCGCAAGAAAAATTTAAATATTATTTTATAGATATTTTATTAATTATATCACATTTGTACATTAACGAATATTTTATTTATGTACGTCTTATAATATTAAGTACCTGAAACAAAAATTAAAAACAAACCTAAACATTAATTTTCTTTAATAATATATTCGATATATATAATTTTATAAAATTTTAATATATTAGAAGCAACATTTCTATTATATATGTATATTACAAATTACAATTATATATATTATGATTAACATCTGCAAAATTAACACAATAATTAAACGTACTGCAATTTATAACCTAATCAAACTTATCAAATTATTTTTTTATGAATTTATATCCATAGTATTTTATAATTATACTTTCTATTTCCATATACTGATAATATAATAAACACGTGCTGTGACTTGTGTATAACCTCTTAAATTATAGGTCTTACGAATTTATATTTAGAAATAAATTTAAATCTATAATTTATATCTAAAAATATTAAAAATTATCATGAAATTATCTACAATAAACCATATTTCTAAAAATTACTTGGTACTCATAAAATTAACGTAGATAATAGATTTTTTACGAACGATTATACATACTTTCCTTCCTTCTTCCTTCGAGATTATTAACACTGGCAAGCTCAAAGCCTGTTTATATTGACCAAAACAGTGGTGTGGTAGCAGATTCCTATGCAGTCTTAGCCTCCCAAAGAGGAAATCAGAACAAAACGGGACAGAAACACATTCAGACTTGCTCACTGAACAATATACGTACGGCTCTTGATTCTTGATGCACACGCGACACGCGATGGGCGCGATGGCTGGACAGAATGCGCGCGAGACTGAGTCGCACATGCGCAACAGTAAAAACAATTAACTAGCAATATATGTGCGCAGAAAATTTGGTGGGCACAAATAATATCATTTAACTATTTCAACTGATTGATATCCATTCAACTTATTTTGAAAAGTTAAAAGTGAAGTAAAAAAGATGTATTAATAATTAATAATTATTCTCATAAAGCATAAAAACTTTAAAGAAAATTTCTTAAATATTGAAAAACTTTCAGAAAATTTTTACGAATGACCAATGACATTTTTTCGCCTGTATAGATATATTATATTTGCCTGTGTATAGATACTCCATTGAAACAATTATATTTACTTCTAAATATTTTTATATATTAATGTTGATTTCTATATACAGCATATATACAGCACAGAATTATCTGTGAATGTGCTATAAACATTGAATAAGTATCCTAATATTCCATGGGTCATTCAGAATATTCTATAGAAGTTCTATGAATATTTCATGGAATTTTGTCAATTCGGAATGTGTATATAATATTCCCGAAATATTCTAATAAATGTAGTACATTTGGAAAATGCGTGGAATGTTTTATAAATATTCTGATAAATGTGGAATATTTAGAATATTCGTAGAACATTCTGCAAATATTTGTAAAATATTTATAGTATGTGCTATAAACATTTTGAAAAATTTTCTAAAATTTACTATGAATATTTTGATAGTATTCTACAAACATTCCGATGAACATGAATATTCAGAATATAAATAGAATATATTTTTAGATATTAATGAAATATTGCTGGAACATTCTATACACATTTTAGAAAAATATAGAAAACCTTCTGATTGTTCTATAAATATTTGATGAATATTCTTGGAACATTCTATTAATATTGTAGAAACTTTATTGTTTTCCACAATATTAATAGAATGTTCCAAGAATATTCTTCAAATATTTATAGAACATTCAGAAGGTTTTCTATATTTTTCTAAAATGTGTCTAGAATGTTCCAGCAATATTCCATTAATATCTAAAAAATATTCCATTTATATTCTGAATATTTATGTTCATCGGAATGTTAGTAGAATATTATCAAAATATTCATAGCAAGTTCTAAAAAATTTTTCCAAATATTCATAGCACATACTATAAATATTTTAAAAATATTTGCAGAATGTTCTATGAATATTCTAAATATTCTATATTTATCAGAATATTTATAAAACATTCCACGCATTTTCTAAATATACTACATTTGTTAGAATATTTCAGGAATATTATATACACATTCCGAATTGACAAAATTCCATGAAATATTCATAGAACTTCTATAGAATATTTTGAATGACCCATGGAATATTAGGATATTCATATAATGTTTATAGCACATTCATAGAAAATTCTTTGCTGTATGGGTAAAACATACATATATAAATGTGTCTCTTTATGACATAGTTGAACACAATTTTAATATTGCTCTTTTATATATTTTGATGATATATGCATATTTTCATGTATTTTTCAAAGGAAATATACAATCTACCATATATATATATATATATATATATATATATGTATATATATATATATATATATATATATATACAAGGTGGTTCAAAAGTCCGGCAACGGTCAATTATGTTCAAGAAATAGTGGTCTTATAAATAAAATATAAAAATTGCAGGGTTCAACCCGGAAAAATTTTTTATATATAATTATATCTAAATAATTATTAATTATACATAACTATATGTAAATTATGTTCATTTTATATATAATTAAATTTATTTATATAAATTATGAAGTTCATGTATAATCTCATGTCAAGTTATATGAAACATTATATATATTAAATGATAATCCTTAAGAGTCGCCAGTAATAAATAATGAAAATCTCTCCTCTAATTTTAAAGTCGACCAGACTGGCAATAATTTATTTAAAAATTATTAGTTAAATTACAACGTTTCGGCTGTCATTGCAGCCCTTTCAGTAATATATGAACAATTATATACATATAATATACTCTTAATGCGCTTAATCATACAATAATTATAAATTTACAAAAATATATATGTTTACATACCAGATTAATACAATAAATCAAATTTACAGCAAACCCCCGACAAAATTAACCATTGTTTTGATGAACAATGTATAACTGACAGATGCGTTATAAATTAGTGTGATCACAAGCCTCGTGGACAGGGCTATTTTACTCGCGGACCCTATGTTTCACGAAAAAACATCATCTTAGTCAAACGAATTCTTCGTAACAACTGTTACCCGTCAACAGTCATAAACAAAATTATTAACAGGAGACTTAGGGCGATTAAATTGGCGGTAATTTTGGTGCGTCTAATCGAGATAAATTTGATACCACGAAATGCTATAGTGTTGCCGTATATTAGAGATTTGAGCGAAAATATTACTCGTTGCATAAACAAAATGGAATCGGTGTATTATATACCGTTCCTAAAAAATTAGAACATTGATAAAAAGAGGAAAGATAGTATTGACAACCTTAAAAAGAACCGATGTCGTTTATAGATCGAATGTGCGAATTGTGTGACTCTACATATATTGGACAACAAAAGCGACATTTAGAAACACTATTAAGGAACATAAAAATAACATCAAAAAAGACACGACATCACACTCAGTTGTAGTTTGCATCGGACTTGCAACGATCATGAGTTCCGCTGGGATTCTCCTGTGATTCTGCATCAAGAAAACAAACAAGAAAAAGAGAAATAGCAGAAATGTTCTATATAAAAAACCAAAGAAAGAGCATTAATTTACAAAAAGATACGGAGAATTTCAGTGGGATTTATGATCGCGTTCTTGAAGCATTAATATATTATATTGTCATATGTTACATATTTATTTATTATTTATTTATTTATTTGACTTTGTATTGACGTTTTAAAAATTGCGAAAGACACAGTACTCTGGTTTTCTATTTTCTAAACGCTTAGTGACTAAGTTTCCTGCTAACAGTCAACATCTATTTTCTTCGTGCTCACTTCTGTCAGTTATACATTGTTCT